GCTTTTGGGCACGATTGGATCCTCGTCCGCAGCTTCTCACCCGTCACCCTCAGACGGGCCAGATGCAGCTGGGTCCTTGCCTGATGTGTCATATACCGCGGACTGATGCAGAGGGAGAAGAAGAGAGTGAATAGAAAGAGGGGGATAGAGGATCATGAGAATGGCCAGTTTGGAACATAAGTAGGATGTGGGGAAAGGGGGAATGGGAGGGAGAATAAAGAATTGAGAATGGTAGATGCAGAAGAGTGGGGTAGGGATAAAGAGTGGAAGTTTATAAGTTTAGATAGTGAGAAGAGGGGGGGCTGGGGGAGGATAGAGTTAGACTACATAGGGGATAAATCTGAAAATACAAAAAAGGATGAAGCCGGAGGAGGTAGGAATAGAGGATAGAGGATCATGTGGAAGAGGAATAGGCAAATGCTGGGGCTACCAAAAATAGAACAGAGGTACATAACAACAGTGTGTACATAGAGTCATGGAAGACTATATACAATATTCAAGAGATAGGAGAGGGGGGAGAAGGGGGGGGGGGGGGGGGGGGGAAGATTAGATAGAGATTGAAATGGGCCAGGCTGATAGGTGGAACCGGGAGCTAGACAAGGGTTGGAGTGGCAGAAAACAATTGTTGATGGGATAAGCGGCCCCAGGGACTGCTCTGAAACGCCCCCCCCCCCCCCATGTCATGCTCCGCGATGGACTACCCTATTGCGTGTCTGGGTGCTGCTAGTAGGCGTCCCAGCCAATAGGGTGATTCACCGCGGAAGGGAGAAAGGCTTGGGGTCCGAAGTACAGAAGCAGGCCCCCCTTGTTTAGGCGGCTAGTGCCACGAGGGTTGGGTTGGGCTGACCTTCCTCTTCTCGTCTTTTCTTCCATTTGTCTATGTAAAAACATGCTTGCCGGGGATAAGTAACCGGACTGATGCCCCACAGAAGCGAAGGGGCTTGTGTACAAAAAAAAAAAAAAAAAAAGAGAGAACATGTTAACTGATGTTACATGGTTCTGAAAGGATTTTAGGGCCTCTACATCCATAGGAGGCTGAAACGTCAGGCCAGTCGGGTCCGAGTCCCAGTTCCAGTTTTAGGGACTCGGTTGCAGACATCGAGTCCCAGTTCCAGTTTTAGGGCCTCTACGTCCATAGGAGGCCGAAACGTCAGGCCAGTCGGGTCCGAGTCCAACCGGTACCCGACAAAGAAGTGCAGTCCCACAAGTCCAAACTGCAGCTGTGCTCCAAGAAAATGCGGAAGCTACCGGCCTAGAAAGTAAACAGGCCGCGGGCGACCGGTACCGGTCAGAAGCAAGTCGAGCCCAAGTCACTATTAAAGGACTTCTCCAGCAGAGTTCACAGACACTGTTCATTTCATGAGAAAGTGGAAGCGTTGTTGACCGTTTGTGTGACATCACGACTTGGAATGCACGCCAGAGAGCCTGTTGGGCAGCGCTGGGGGTTAAGAGAGACAGGTGGCCATAGCCGCAGTAGAAGTAGGGCAGTAGGAGGAAGGCGGATGTATCCAGGGTTGTGATCCTCATAGTAGCAAAGACGAGAGAGAGAGAGAGAGAGAGAGAGAGAGAGAGAGAGAGAGAGAGAGAGAGAGAGAGAGA